GCTGACTGCCGGCGCGCTGCTGCCGCTGTGTGCGGGCAGCGCGGCCACGGCCGGCCCTTGTCGGCCGTCTGGCAACCTCACTCGAACATTTCAGCTTCACATAACATAATTTGACTTGGAATGATTATGAGTACTGAATTAACTTGAAACATGGATTTTTATTTTAAAAAAAATTGGACTCGGCCGCGGCGGGCGCACCGTGCGCCGCCGACGGCAAGCCGTTCCTCGACCGATCACGATCTTCTCTTGACAATTTATACTTGACTGAACATGACATGACATTTAATGAATAAATGGACATGAAAAGCTCGATAGTTTATTTCTTAACATAATCCATCATTACGTTCGGCCCGTGGGCGCGCAACGTGCGCGACCACGCATCTCGGCCGAACTTCCGAACAACATGAACACACATCGAGCGACACAACATAATTGAACATGATATCACATAACTTGGCTAAACAGGATCTGTTTGCTCGAACGATTTCTGAAGTAAAACATGATGGCTCGACATGAATTCTACACACGGCCGTACGACCTAAAGCCATTATATGAGCATGACTTCGACTAAACAGAACCTACGCATCATTAACTTAATCAATTCAAAGGTAAGCTGGCGTTACCTCCTTGAACACTTGCCGATCGTTCTAATCGCTTCGAACTACCAGAACCTCCGCGCGTGCTAGGCTATGTTCTCGGCATGAGGTGCTTGCTCTTCCAAAAATCACTAACTCTATATAGTATGGAAAGACTAATATATATGCTGATATATAGGCTGAAGAAGTGGGGAAATTTCATCCCAACATTCACTTATATATTAAACCGAATGGAAGAGGATTAGGGAAAATGAGATGGTCTGGTGGCTTTACCATTACATGACACCTATTAATCCAATATGCTTAGTCATCATTTTCTTGTATTAGTCACCACTTAATCTCTCTTAACTTGACATGTGTAATGGCTTAAAAGGGAAGAAATTTATTTCCTTCATGCTAAATAAGGACTTACGGCAATTGAGACTAATTGGAAAATCCGTACGGCTATGTACCACTAATTATGATTAATTTACTAATTAATCACAATTAGTGCTTATTTATTTAATTAGACATGATACTTAATTACCAAAATTATTCGAAACGTAAACGGATCGTCGAAAATAATTTCCGGTAATTTCAACTGAAAAAATTAATTCCGAAAACAATAATCGATAACGTTATTATATCGGAACTAATAACATGATTTATACTAATAAACTGACGGGATATTACAATCCTCCCTCCTTAAAAATTTCTGTCCTCGGAAATTCAAAACATAATTGGATATACATGAACTATGTACATAGAACGAGAAAATATGTACATCAAAACTGAAAATCTGGAAAACGAGCGCGAATATCGGACTCCGCCTCCCAAGTAGCTCCGTGGCGATCCCACTGAATACGCACGAGGGGAACATCTCGCTTCCGGAGCTGACGAATCTGACGGTCCAATACAGCTGCTGGTCGCTCCTCGTACGAAAGATCTGGCTGAACCTGAATATCTGAATGGGAAATAATATGATCGGGGTTGCACACGTACTTACGCAACATAGATGCGTGAAAAACATTATGAATGCCTGATAGCTCGGGAGGTAAAGCTAATCGATACGCGACCTCGCCTACTCGCTCTAGAACCTCGAACGGGCCTATGAATCGAGGGTGCAGCTTCCCTCTCTTCCCGAATCGAACAACTCCGCGAATAGGACGAACCCAAAGAAAAGCTGGCTCGCCAACCTCAAACTGAATATCTCGTCGATGATGATCGGCTGAAGATTTCTGTCGACTCTAAGCTGTCTTGAGTCTCTGCCGGATCAAATCGACCTGATCTGCTGTCTCCTCGATCAACTTAGGACCGAGTACTCATCGCTCTTCAACGTCGTCCCAATAAAGAGGGGAACGACACTTGCGACCGTAAAGTGCCTCGTAAGGAGCCATCTGAATGGAAGAATGATAGGTGTTGTTGTACGCGAACTCGGCGTACGGTAAAAACGACTCCCACTTAGCACCCCTGTCTACAACCAAAGCACGAAGCATATCCTCAAGTGTCTGAATGGTCCGCTCGGACTGACCATCTGTCTCTGGATGGTAGGCTGAACTGAACTCTAGCTTCGTGCCCATCGCCTCGTGTAAGCTGTGCCAGAATCGACTAACAAATCTGGGATCTCTATCTGATACAATAGTAATAGGCACTCCGTGGAGTCGAATGATCCCACGGGTATATATCTCAGCCAACTTATCCAGAGACATCTTCATCGAAACGGGTAAGAAATGAGCAACCTTAGTCAATCTGTCGACCACGACCCAGATAGCATCGTGATGTTCAGACGACCTCGGTAATCCCGTAACAAAATCCATCGTGACTTCCTCCGATTTCTACCTCGAAATCGGCAGTGGCTGCAAGAGGCCGATCGGACTCTGATGTTCGGCTTTGACTTGCTGATAGGTAAGACACCTTCTGCAAAACTCGGCGACGTCTTTCTTCATTCCTCGCCACCAGAACGACCCTTTCAGGTCATGATACATCTTCGTGCTCCCGGGATGGGCTAGATAGGGTACGGTATGAGCCTCTGATAAAATCTCCTTCCGCAACACCTCGTATTTCGGGACCACGATCCTGCCTCTGAACTCTAAGGCACCATCGACACCTAGCTGAAAACCCTCGACGCCTCCGGCGTGAACCTTGGCCTCCGTGACACGAATGAACTCATCAGAAGCCTGCTCTCGCCGGATTCTCTCTCTCAGCGTCGGCTGAAGCTGCATAGCACTAATACTGGCACTGACACTCCCTGAAACAACTGTGGGAAGTGCGTCGACCGCCTGAATCTGCATCCGGGCAAACTCCTGAATCAACGGACTCTGCTGTATAATGACGTACGTCAAGTCACCCCTCACCTTTCGGCTTAGGGCGTCAGCAACGACGTTCGCTTTTCCCGGATGATATTGAATAGAGCAATGGTAATCCTTGACGAGCTCGAGCCAACGGCGCTGTCTAATGTTAAGCTCCTTCTGCGTAAAGATGTACTGCAGGCTCTTATGATCTGTGAAAATCTCACAATGACTGCCGTAAAGATAGTGTCGCTAAATCTTAAGGGCATGAACGACTACTGCTAACTCCAAGTCATGCGTCGGATAGTTCTGTTCGTGCGGCTTGAGCTGACGTGAAGCATAGGCAACGACCTGGCCGTCCTGCATGAGTACACATCCCAGTCCCTGCTTCGAAGCATCACTGAAAATGGTGAAACTCCGAGAAGGATCGGGAATAGTCAACACCGGTGCTGAAGTTAATCTCCTCTTGAGCTCCTGAAAGCTCGACTCACATCGGTCAGTCCACTCGAACCTCACAGACTTCCTCGTCAGCTGGGATAGTGGGAGGGCGATTTTGGAAAAGCCCTCGATAAACCTGCGATAGTAACTAGCTAGACCGAGAAAACTGCGAACCTCGGACGGACTCCTCGGTGTCAACCAGTTCTGAACAGCTGAGACCTTGGAAGGATCCACCTCGATACCTGCCTGAGTAATAACATGACCCAGAAAGGCTACTCGCTGGAGCCAGAACTCGCATTTGGAAAAATTTATGCTTTCAGTAAACCGTAGATTTTGCTAAAAATTATAATAACAGTTTTTCAGAATAAGTCACGTTTTATGGTAGCACCCCGAATCAGTTTTCGTAAATCAAAAAGATTTAATTTTTTAAAACAACTTTGCGAAATTTACGCACTCTGATTTAACGATAACTTTTCTCGTCTGAGGGTTTCGAGAACCACCCTCAGATGCTCCTCGTGCTCCTTCTGGCTCTTTGAGTAGATAAGAATATCGTCAATAAAGACAATAACAAACTGATCGTGGTAGGGATGGAAAATACGATTCATCAGGTCCATGAAAACCGCTGGAGCATTGCTGAGGCCAAATGGCATGACAACGAACTCGTAATGGCCGTAACGAGTCCTGAAAGCGGTCTTGGTGATATCTGACTCCTTAATCTTCAGCTGGTGGTAGCCTGATCGTAAATCAATCTTTGAGAATACACAGGCTCCCCTCAACTGATCAAATAAGTCGTCAATCCTAGGAAGTGGATACTTGTTCTTGATCGTCAACCAGTTAAGATCCCGGTAGTCGATACACATGCACATGGATCCGTCCTTCTTCTTGACAAAGAGAACGGGTGCTCCCCAAGGTGACACACTTGGTCGAATGAAACCGAGTCATAATAGCTCCTGAATCTGCGCCTTAAGCTCCTGCAACTCCTTCGGTGCCATACGGTATGGGGCTTTGGATACGGGGCCGGCTCCTGGAATGAGATCGATAGAGAACTCCACCTGCAGGTTAGGCGGTCCTCCTGGAAGCTCGTCTGGGAACACGTCCACAAACTCACGAACAACTGGAACATCGTGAGGTGATCGTGCTTTCTGAGAATCCTTGACAAGGCTCACCAGATAACCCTGGCAGTTGCCTCGTCGCAGCAACTTAGTGGCTTTCGCCATCGAAACAACATGAGGTAGTGAACGATTCTTACTGCCAAAGAAGGTGATCGAATCGTCTCCCGGAAGATTAAGAGTGATCTCCCGGTCATGACATCTGATATCTGCATGATAAAAAGATATCCAATCCATTCCGAGAATGAGGTCGAAGTCCCTCATCTCGAGAACAAACGCGTCGGTAGACAATACTCGGCCACCGATGGAAAGGCTAAGATCTGAAGCTTTAGCTGAGGTCACTATCTTTCGTCCCGAGGCTAAACTCACCTCGAGAGGATCGACAGCGATAACGGCATGAACTCCGATGGCATCAAGACATCGTCGTGAAATAAATGAATGCATTGCTCCAGTGTCGAACAAAGCGAAAACAGGAATATCATTGAGCACAACCATCCCTGACATAGTACCTGGCTGCTGTGTTGCCTCGGCCTGATCAACCGCGTAGACTCGGGCCTGCTGTCTGCCCCTCTGCTGCTGCTGCTGAGGCGGCCTCTGTGCCTGCTGACGTGGCTGCTGCTGCTGTTGTGGCTGCTGCTGAAGTCTCTTTGGACAGCGACTCACAAAATGTCCAGGCTCGTGGCAGTAGTAGCAAATGTCCTGACCCATGTGGCACTCTCCGCGATGAAGTCGTCCGCAAGTCGGGCACGGTGGAACCTGCTGCTGTCTCTGTCGGGTCCTCCTGTCAGTCTGAGCACCCTTCCCCTTCCTCTTCTTCTCCTTCATTGGCTGAGCAGCTGGTAGGGCTGGTGGAGCTGTGAATGGCTGAACTGGGGCAGATGGCTGAGAACGATCACGGACAGCCTCCCTCCTGATACTAGCGTCCACCTCCTGGGCAATAGAAACTGCACGAGCGTAGGTCTGAGTCCCGTGTCCTACAATGTTATGACAGACTGTTGGGTAAAGCCCGTCAATAAAGCGCTATGCTCTCTGTGCCTCTGTGCGAACCAGGTCCGGAACAAAGGCTGCAAGTCTCGTAAACTCTCTCTCGTACTCATCAACAGTACGAGTACCCTGCTGGAGCGATAAGAACTGACGCTCCATCTCTGCTCTGTAATAGGTGGGGTAGTACTTCTCGCGGATTAGCTCCTTGAGCATATCCCACGTACATCCCGCCTTCTCGCCGGGACGCATGCTCCAGTAGGCATTCCACCAGAGCCGGGCATCACCGGTTAGCTGAAGCTGAGCGCAGATTACACGATATCTGTCTGGACAATCCATGACCTTGAAGATAAACTCAAGGCCCTGAATCCACTCGTCCACGATACGGGGATCTCCCTGCCCTGAGAATTTTTCAGCATGATAGTCGCGGAACTGTGCGACAACTGTGGCTTGAGTAAGAGCCGGGTGATCGGGTTCCCTACGGGGGCGGCATCTGAACATTGAGAAAGTTCAACATCATTGAACACGTGATAATATTCTGACTGATTACTAAGGCACACAAATCTCTTGACGAGTTGCCAAAAATGGCCGATAAATACTGACATGAATCCTGAGGAACTCTAGAGTCATATCGGAAGATACTGAATTCTAGAGTCATATCTGAATATTCTAAAGTCTGAATCTGATTCGAGCATCTTAACTAAATCCTGATCCATAATTTCTAAGCATAGGCAAAGTAATATGTTTATAACTGAAAACTAAATCAGCACTTACCTGTAGTCGGCGAGGCGTGAGCGTGACGGTTCAGGTTTTTCTAAAAATTACTGACTGAAAAACTTTTCAGAGACGCAAAAACGTTCTCTGATACCAATTGTAACACCCCGCCTTATCGTGAAATCAGAGTGCATAAATTTCGCAAAGTTGTTTTAAAAAATTAAATCTTTTTGATTTTCGAAAACTGATTCGGGGTGCAACCATAAAACGTGACTTATTCTGAAAAACCGTTATTATAATTTTTAGCAAAATCTACGGTTTACTGAAAGCATAAATTTTTCCAAAAGTCTGATCGAAAGATAAGTTCGTCAAACATCAAAATCAGCGGAAACGTAGTATCGTCAAAATATATACAGTCATAACATAAAAGTCCTGAAGCATCCGTCATCTCACGCTCCCGGCCCGACATCCTGACCTGAAAAACATGATAAAGTGGGTCGTGAGCACTATAACACTGTGCTCCGTGGAAACTCATACTAATGTAAATATTGAAAATAATAACGACATCATGATCCTGGTATATACATAACCTGAACATGAAACCGGTAATAACATGAACATGAATCTGATATCATCACGTGAACGTGAACCATGACCGTTACCTCATCTGCCAGCATAAAAATGTCGGACACCATGTGCACACTCTAGTGGGCAGACTAAGGCCACTAGAACCCAGAATGGACCGGCGACCATTCCGAGCGGATACATGACATGAAATACATACATCAAACATGGTACCGTAATTATAATCAATGTAGTACATAGTCTGAGTCCCCACCTGATCCGTGAAAATAAAGGTAGTGCTGATGCTCGTGACCTGATCAAACTGAAATATAATGTAAACAATTACTACTAACTATGCTCAGACTATTAACTTAACTGATTAATTATGTTAAGATGCTCTATTGGACGTGACATAATATTTCGACTTAACCGGTATAACTGAAACTGATCTGACATGAAATGATCGGACATGAACTTAGTAAACTGAACTGAACCTGGAATTTTAACTGAAAATGACACTGAAATCATGAACCGGGACTGAAACTGAAAATACTAACTGAACCGTAAAAATTGGGACTGAACCGGTCCAGCCGGTTTGAACCGTCTGGACTGGACCGCCGGTCCGCTGAACCGGTCGGTCGCACA